ACATTCCTTCACAGGTCTCTGGGCTCCTCCAGAGGCTGAGCTCATTTCCGGCCCTGCCCAGGCATGTGGCTGGGCTGCTGTAGGCTGAGCAGCTGCTGCCTCCACCCCAGCACAGCCTGTGTTCAGCAAGGAGACACAGGGTCTTTGTGCCTCTGCTGCAGATTGGGTGACATTCATTGGTGTCTTTTAAATCAAACATGACATGTTGAAACGTGCCTATTGCTAATGTTCATTTTCAAGAATTTGACTTTTGTTGGCAACTAGCAGTGGAAAAAAAAAATCACTTTTTTTCTGGATGTGTATGTAGTTATATTTACCCTGATCTTTGGGGTCTGTAGCTATGGAAAACAAGAGTCATCTGAGATTTACCTGCTGGTAGAGGATGAGGCAGACAGATGAATCTAGCATTCACAGAGCCAGAGAGCATTAATTTTAGCATTAACACTGAGTGTAGAACTATGGTAAGACAGGGTGTGGCTTGGACTGGCTGGGAAGGGAGGCATGATCCGATCCCAGGACATGCGCCAAATAATTCTCAGGACCCTGTATATGGACTTCTCATTGATGCCCAGGATGTGTGCAATGAATAAAGAGACAGGATGCCATTAAGTGCTCGCTAAGGTGCCATCTGACATTAGCCTGCCCTATATTCTCTAGAGTGTACTTTTGTTTTTTTATTTTTATTTGGCCCAAGCTCACTCTGCAGGACCAGTTTCTCCCTTACCATTCATTTTTAATTTTCCCTACCTCAAATAAATGTGCAATGTTACCATCATTTTTGTTTGTTTCATTCAGGTCTTTGTTCCAGATGAAAAGAATCTGGAAGCCACCTCCAGAAGGAGATGCTAGCACCCCCAAACTCTGCAACAATGGTAGGTATTAACAGTTAAAAACATGTTTTAAAACGCAACACAAGCGCCAGGACAGCACTGGAGGTGACAGTACCCTATGCATAAGACAGTCCTAGGTGACAAAGTTATGATGTAATATCCTCCTGAAGTTACAAATGCTAAATACCAGCCTAGTGCTCCCACAGCCCCTGTAAAACTAAGTACAATAAGTTTTTGTGGTGTTCTGAATAAGCCCATCACCTGAGGGAAAAACACTCTTGCAATGACAATGCCCAAGGTATCACTGTACTCCAAGGGGAGTATTGTTCTCAATAGAACACCAGGGCACCAGGGCCTGTGCATTATCCCGTCAGTCCTGGGGAGTCATTTGACTGCTGACACACGGCCAAAGTTCACCAGCCCTCTGATGTACCAGGCTCACACTGACTCAGATCTGTAGAGTGTCCCTTGTCTGGGTGTAACTTGTGTGTAAAGCAGTCATCAACAGCATTGACAGTAATGTTCACAGGGAGGGTTGTAGTCTTGATGGTGCAGTTCCAGGGAACATATGAATGAAGTTCAGTCAGAGGGATCACAAAGAGGCCAACTGCTTCCTTTTCAAATAGTCCATCATTGAAACACTGACTGCATCAATTTGATTTGGCCTCATAATTTATGACAGCACAGGTCCAAAAGCAAAGGGCTTATAGGCGCAAGTGAGTAAAATCAGTGCATACAATGGGCTGAGTACAGCATCTTAGGGAGTAGTGAGGATTGTGGCAAAATACTGTACAGAGGCATGTGCTGCCTGAAGGAGACAGTAGTGACTCGGCTCCAGTCAAGTATGGCCAGGTGGGAATGTGGATCTAGAATTGCACGACCTGATTTTTTTAAAGAAATCCAAGAAAATTTGCATCAAACATTGTACATCTGGGTACACCTGGCCTGCAGCTGCTCCTTTGCAACCTCTCCCCAGAATCCAGGCTTGCAGAACTGGGAAAGACTAAGAGCAAGCAGATGACTTGAGATTCATTCTACTACACCAAAGGGAGAGCCATTCTCCATAGATCCCAGTTAGGTCAGCTCTTCAAGCTGGAAATGTCATCCTGCTTCCTTTCTAGCCTTCCTGTAAGATGACTTTGCTTCCTATCCTTAGGATATAGCCACCACCAAGAGCCTGCTGAAGGCACAAGTGATTTTGCAGTCCAGCCAGCTACTGCGTATGCAGAAGAGACTGGCCTCAGGGAACTTTACTGGCAGCATCCCTCAGGAGGGCCAGATTCTTTGGGGCATGTAGACACCTTGCTGACAGCTAAATGGAAACAATGCCCAAATCACTGGTCACTTGATTTGATTCTGTCCAACTGATCATTGTAATTGGATGACAGATAGATATTTCTGTCTCCTTTTCAACTGGTGTTGGAGGGTGGAGCTTCTGGCCCATGACTCATTCTTCTGGGTAGTTACCTAATAGGGAAGATTATCTCCCTTCACAGGCAGAACTGTTCCTGCCTCTTGGCCGCCTAAAGAATACAACCAGGTCCAACCAAAGGCAAATGCCAGGAAATCTCAGAACTTCCTCATATTCCATATTGCATTGTCTGCAAAGGTCTTTGAAATTTTCCTTGCTCTAATACTCTGAGGGGATTCAGAGGTGAAGAATAAAATAGAACAGAACCAATTACAATAGGGAAAAAGGAAGAAAGAAACTAGTGAGAAATGGTAGTACTTCTCATTTTAGGGAGCTTGTAGCAAATAATCTGGAGTAAAGAGAATAGTTTTGTTTTCATGGAGCTGCTATACTCAAGTTCTTTAAAACATGAGCTGTAAATTCAAAATTTTGTAATGCTGTGGATGGAGCCCTCTTCTGGAGGAAATTTTCAACAGGTATTAAAACAAGATCAAAACACATAAGATGAAAACACACATGCACATATGCACACATACACACACAACATATGCAGAAATACTTCAGACTATTTAGATGGTAGGTCTGTCATCCAGGTGTGAATACTTTGTCTCCTCCTTACCTCCCCAGAATAGAAATTACCTGGACTTCCCAAGAAGCTGCATTTGTGGAAGGAAAGAAAGAGCCTAGCTATCCTTTTTCCTGAAGACAGAACTTTAGGATGAGGCTCAATTATCACATCCAAATGCTGGTACTTTCGCAAAATGAAGTTATTGAGTATGTTCATTTGTTGGGCAATTTCACTATAACACACAGAGGATGTTTCTAGAAGGGAACAGATTTTACTTAATGTAACATACCAGGGCCAAAGAAAGGACATGGAAGATAAGAGGGAGGCAGAGTAGGGAAGATCAGCTAAGAGCTTTAGAGGCTTGCAACATAGACTATGGAATTACATGAATCCAGATGAATCTAGATCACATATTCAGCCCTGGAGTTTATAGAATCTCTTTTGGAACTTGCAAAAAAAGTATTCAGACACATGAACTCTACAACACTGATCACTTTTGCCATTTGCGTCTGTTTCCCCAGTCTTCTTGAAATCTTATAGACTACCACATATTAAGCCATAGGATGGAGGTGTCTCTACAACTGTCTTTTCCTCTCCTCAAAAAGGTTTTGCACAGAAACACTGCTCTTAAAACATATGAAGTTGCAACCACCTCGAAAGCCACAGATTCCCATTTAAAATCCTGAAAATCAAGATTCTTACTCCAAGAGAGAATGCCCCACTTTAAATCAAAATCAGAATTCCATGGAATTCCATCAGAATTCCATTTTTAGGCACTCCCAAGTGATTGCTTTCCAAACCTGAACCACTCCTTAAAATCCTAATTCTTGGAGGATTACTCATTGTTGAAACTTTGGGTTAGTTGCAAGGGCTGGAGCAATCCTATTTACAGTGGAATTTCTAGCTCATGTCTCTCTTAATTTGTGTCACATTCATTACCATAGCCACATTCCAGGGGCCACTTCTGGGCTGGTCTTTCCCTAAACCCTCCAAGAGAGAGGAAAGGTGACTGTTCTTTAACTTTGCCAGCTTCCAGCTATTGTCGCTTAGAATTCCTCATCTCCTACCCAAATCCCAAAACACCAGCAACCCTGCCAATAAGCTTACAGAGACTAATGGCTTCCAAAGCTGGACCTGTGTCTTACAACTGCGGTGGAAAAACACACATAGGCTTGCCTGAGCACCACCAGGGCAGAGTGACTAATTGGCTTTATTATATTGTTTTTCCCTTTCTTCTGTTTTCTCTCCCTCAGGAAAGTTTTGTTTCTTCTGGTTGACTCAAAGGTTCAGAGGCTTTCTCCACTTTTCTTTATGGTACACGGAGCTGTGCACTTGAACCTCTTGCTGGTGATTGTACCCAGATGATTTCCTACAGAGGTGCTATTGCTACCAGGGTATCAATTGCTGTCCTAATGTGGACATTTGCTCTGATCATGTGTAACAATCGAAGAGAGAAATAAGTGCCTCAGGGCAGGCGATTCAACTCCTGTTCTAAAGCAACTGAGTGAGCCTTCAGAAGCCACCTGTGCCAGCCAGGCCCCCGGGGAGGAGATACACAGATGCTTTGCAAAGGGCACCATGTGCAATGCCCCTAGTGTGAGACTCCACTTTCCATCACTCCCTCTGACTTGCTAAGGGAGGCTTGACTTCCAGCAAGCTCTGGAATCTGAACAGAAGCAGAAACATACCAGGTAAAGTCCTGGGAAGGCAATATTCATTGGCCTAGACAATAGCACCCAGAGTGGCAGACTTGCGCAAATTCATTACCTAGGGCATCCTGTTGAATGCAACCCTACCTAGCAGTGCCAGGAAAGCAGTAGGTGATTTCACAGTGGAGCACCTGGAAGCTCAGAGAGGTGAAGCAACTTGCCCAGGGTGGAACCACTAGCACAGGGCAGCAAGGATTTGTCAGAACCCTTCCATCTGAGGCATGCTCTGAACCATTTCACTACATAGCATCTATGTACAACATACAGCCATGGGGCTGTTTAGAGCCCAGAAAGTCTGGAAAACTGAGGCAGGACTGAAGGCCACAGGGACCCCAAGAGAATCATCCCGGCAGGAGAGAAGCTACAATTCAGTAGTCTCATGGAGCAGCTTATCCAGGGACGAAGTCAGCAACCAGGCACCTTCCTCTGCCCTGGGCACTATCATTCACAGATCCCTTCTGGAGTCATTTCCGTGGTCACTGCATTCCTGGCACGCTGGTCCATTTCCAGACTAACCCAACACTGACCCTGAAGTAGTCTCCCCCTATAAGGCTGCACCAGATCTCTTCATGCCTGCCTGGGACCCTGCCTTCCTGGCCCTCCTCATCCCCAGCAAACACATGTGCCTCTTCCTCTGGCATCCAGGTAGGGGTCCTGGCCACAACTCAGTTCCATTCCTAGCACCTCGCGGCACTCCCTGTCCCCTTCCCCCCTCCTTACCCGGCCCTGCCCTTTTCTCACCCACCCACTTGTAGGCTGCCAGCCTACTATGAGTCCCAGAGGGTGCCAGGGAGGCCCTCGAGGGACTGGGGCAGGGTGCTCTGGGAACCATGGGCCCTGGGTAGGGCTGGGCGCTCCCCTCAGCCGCCAGCATCTCAGGCCTGGCCTCTGGCGCTGCTTCCCTGCCCAGAAACTTCCCGAGATCCCCGAGAGGTAGAGCGGTTTCGGAAGGCCAATGTCCCGAGCCCCTCTGGTTGGCTCGCGGGCCCTGCCTGCCCGCCGCAGCGCTGGGAGGGTTAACCAGGCAGCTGCAGCCCGGGTGGGCAAGGCTTGAACTTTTCTCTGCGCTCTGCACCCGCCCGCCCCGGGAAAGCAACGGCAGCCTGGCTTGGGCCAGAGCTCCAGCTGGCTGGACAATGGGGGGGGGGGGCGGGGGGCTGGGGCCTGCGCCCTGGCGGGGACCGCGCTCTGGCCCTTCCGGGCTCGGAGCTGAGAGAGAGGACCCCGGCGGGCGCGGCCGGCGCCGGCGCCTTTGAGCGACAGCGGCAGCCGGGCTGCGGCGGTAGGCTGGCCAGAGGCGCCTTCCAGCTCAGCTCGCTGCGGGGCTGGGCGAGGGGTCGCGCTCCCTGGGAAGTCTGCAATGCCCGCTCGGCCTCTCCAGCCGGGCAGCCTACGATCCGGACCAGGGCAGCGCTTCCGCCTGGGCTGGGGGGGAAGCAGGACTCCTTGGAGTCGCCTCCAACTGAGTCGCCAATGCACGAGCCTCCAGAGGAGGAGAACCAAAGTTACCCTACTTGATGTAGGCGAGGATGTAGCCCCTGCTTACAAAAAAGGGGGGGCTCAGGAGCTCTCTCCTCCCCTAGAACGTACACACACACACACACACACACACACACACACACACACACACACACACACACACACACGCAGCAAGCCTTAGAGGGAAGCCGGGGACGCGCAGATCCGCTGGGCTGCGGCTGACCTCCCTCCGGATCCCGGGTCTGTCTTCACAGCCGCGCCCGGAGCCCCCAGCCCTCCGAACGCCCCTCGCCTGAGCTGCGCTGGCGATCGGAATGCAGAAGCCGGGTGCAAGCGCTCCCGGCGGCTCCTCTTCCCTACCTGGGACAGCAGAACGCACAGGACGAGCGGAGTTGTCAGCTGCATTTTGCCCGACTAGAAGCGCCCGGCGGCGTTTTCATTCATGCACGCGGCTGCACTGAGCATATTTTCCGTGGGAGCCAGGCTTTGAGGAGAGGCTCTGCCTCGCCAGCCAGCCAACTTCCCAAATAGATCAGCGGCAGCATCACGAAAGCATTGGGTAGAGGCTGATGACCAGGACCAATGGCTTTACAAGACGGATTCCTTCATAAAGCTCCCTCGTTTTGCATGGCAGATACAGGGCTAGCACCGCGAAAGAGCGAGCCCCTCCAGAAGGCAGCGCGTTAGCGTTTTTTTTTTTTTTTTTTTTTTGGACTGTTGGGGCCCCAGCCTCACAAATCACGCTGGGCAATGCCAGCCGACTCCACTTTCCAGAGAATAGAATTGCATGGAATTGCACCGGAGACCAGCGGCCACTTGCAGCCTAGTGCAAAGGGATTCTCTTTATTAAAATGTTAATAAGATCCACTTTATTTCCAATAAATCAAATCAAATGACCCCAACAGTCCCAATTCTTTCTATGCCGGGAGAGCCTTGGCAATGGGCTTGTTTTTCCTTTTCTTTCTTTTTTCCCCCCAACGTGGCCCAAGCCATGATGGTGTTTGGTGTTTCTCTGCCATCTCACAAATCACAAAGAGGACAGATCAATTCCAGCTTGCAGGGAAATCCATCAAAAGGCAATAGATTTTATTAACTGCTCAGGTGAGAGTCTGCCTGGCCACCTACTCCTCAAAGGTACAGCTGGCACAAAGCTGGGGCCGTGACCTGAGGGGGGGACCCAAATAAATAAATGTTTTTTCTTACATTGATGCGACCTTTCACAAACTCTTGTTACCCCTTAGGACTCAGAACAGCAGTATCTGCTACTCAAGGAATTTTATGAGTGCTTTGGGAATGACGGCAAGAGCCCTGCTTTCCCCAGTAGTAATCTAAGAATGAATAATAAAGAAGGAATCATTTTCCTGCAGCTTCCTTCTGAAAAGGATTTAAGGTATTTTACAAGGGCATTTATGCAGCCAAAGGAAAAATCTAGACCAGAGGAAAAGTTCAGCAAGCTGAAGTGCTAACTCCGAACTGTAAACCATTTGCTCTGATTGAGATATGAGCTTCCTGGTGGCCAAAGCAATATGTGAAACAGGTCAGTTACACATTTCTTGTTATAGAAATATGTGTACAATCGCTTCTTGGCCTTTTGGCTAAGACCAAGTGTAGAAATATCTGTACAATCTCATCCAACATGATTCCTCCAGCACTAAGTACTAGAATAAAAGTATTGTGTGACATACATTACAACAGGACACTGAGCAATGGATCATGCTGAGATCCAGGGGATTGAGGCTGTATGCCAACATCTGGCACAGGGCCTAGAACAAGGAGACAGTGTATGTTCCAGGAATAGATGGCGAGACTTAATCAAGAAGTAGCAGAAGGTGAGGAGGGCCCCCTGCCTAGGCTCAACCCCCAGCGCTTCCACTTACTAGTAAGTCACTCAAACTCTCTGTGCCTCTATTTGTCCACTGGTGAAATGAAAATACAAACACTCAACTCATAAGTTTTCAGTAGGGATTAAGTGACCAAATAACCCACTCAATAAATGTGAACTGATTTGCTTTTTAAAATTCCTTCATTGTCTGCTATTTGGTCACAAGGTCATCTCATGTGGGCCCTAGGTCTTGGACAAAGATGCAATACCATCTTATGAGTGACTGCTTTAGCCAGTGCTCAGCCAACAGACATCGACACTGGCAAAACGGTGCCCTGAAGACAATGAAAGGCGGGAATCTCTGCTGCCTCTGGTCTTTTTCTTGCATAAGTAAGGCCATCTTCCCTGAGCCTGTAAGAAATACACTCTTTGACAGATGATGTGCCAGATGATGACACCTGGAGCCATGTGTTTGGAAGCCCATATCCATACCCATGTTGGCCACTGACAAGAGGAAAGCAGGGTACTGGGGAGTCAAACAGACTTTGGATCAAGCTATCCCCAAATATTCTTATTTTTTCTCTCTTCTAGGGAAAGAGCCATCTTTCCAAGCATGGGACAAGTGAACTGACACCATGGATCAGCAGACACAAAGACAGGGAGAGAGAACAAGGGATCACTCAGCAGGTGACCAATGGCAATGTGGGGCTGGCCCGATTTGCACAAGCAACAGCTCAGTCAAGGGAAGCGCTTCAGAGTAGGGACCATCCAAGACCACACTCAAAGGCCAGTGCAGGATCACGGACTGACAGTCCTACCGTCCTTTTCTATAGTTTCCCATTTCAGTATCTTTAACCAAACATGTACAGTTCTCCCTTCTGGGAAAATGTTGGGGTTATAATTGCCCAACCCCTTATTTTTGGAGTGGGACCCTATGACTAGCTCTAGGCAGAGATTTGTGAGCAAAAGTGACCCATTTCTCTTCAAGGCTGGAGCATTTCACTGCCAGTGTGAGACAGGCTCGTTTCCCTGGCAGTCAGTACTAAGGTGCAGATTTGTGCAGGTGGCTTCTTGGGGAGGTGTTCTCAGGAGCTGCATTTGCCAGAGAGCAAGGGAGGCACACTGGCAGAGGGAGAGGTGGAGACACAGCAGTGCCAGCAGAGGAGAGGCTCGGGCACCCCCTGGATTCACCAGGGATTCACCAAGGTCCTGATCTACTGGCAGGCAGAGAAGCACCAGCCAAGTGCACCTGATCGAGGCGGACACACCCAAGCTGTCCCACCCCTTCCCCACTTCATCCACACAGACAAGGCTCTCAGGGCTGGAAGGAGTTGATCTCAGGAGTCTGCTTAGGCTTGGAGGCTCACGTCTGGAACCCCAGGAGGACTCAACCCCTCCAAGCACTCCAAGTCTAGGAAGGTAGAAAGAGGTTTGTCAGCACAATGAGACCCAGATTCAAATCTCTAGACTGCTTACATCGAGCAAGTTGCTTTTACTCCAAAGCCTGGCTTCTCACCAATAAAATGGGAACACTAACAGGCTAACACTTCAAGGATAGTTGTAAAATTTGGTGTTACTTTTCCTTTCTACCCCTACTCCCCTCTAGACTCACAGAACTGGCATTTGGCCAGAGGATATGAGATCAAGTTTAGATCAACAAAGACTGGAGAGAAAAGTCATTTCATTACAATGATAAAAGACTTCTGAGAGGAAATCCATTTTTGTGTGTGTGTTGTCTGATTTTTCTTCAGCCCCCTAAAGGGGGTCTTTTGGATGATGGATTAATCAATGGTGGCAAATAAATATTGAATCTGAAAGCTACTCTCTACCTGTCCCCACTCCACATCCCCCCACACCAGTCCAGATCAAGCCCCAGCTGCTGTCACACCCCTGGGTTCCCAGAGAAGCTATGGGTGCCTTTATATACACTGGATGTTCACACCCCTTCCAGATCCACCTGCCTGGCTTCGGAGCTGGTGGATGATCCCACTGCCAGCAGCTGCCTCCTGTGAGCACCAGGGGTGGAGACTGTGTTCTCTCATGAGCTGATGTGGAAGAGGCCATTCCAAAGCACATGGAAGTGGCTGTGTGGGTACGTGGATATACTTGTGTGCATGTGAGCAAGCACACGGGTATGTGTATACCCCACAGAGAGAAGTTTCTCAAACTGCACCAGACTTTTACAGGCGTTGTGATGCTATGATAAGAATTTGTCTAGAACACTGGCAAATAAAACAGGTACCTGCCAGAGCCAGAACAGCTGCCAGGTATGACCAGAGGCCTCTGTAACTGGAACATGCTTAAGTAGCAAGAAGGGAAGTCCACGCCACACAGCAAACAGCCTAGTACTTACAGTGCAACACTCACAGGACCACACGCCATCCCCCAGGTCTCCCTGGTCACCAAAGTGCTGGCCAAAGGTAGCACCCCTGCCCACTGGTAAAGCCAGAAGTTGCTATGTGTGTCTGCATAGCACTCTGCATTAGGACATTACACTATATGCTACCTCTTGCATCACTGTCTCAGTTCTTCACTCCAACATGCGTCTATCTACACACTCAGCCTTGACCTTGGGTAGACTCAGTGACTGGGAAATGAGGAAGAAGTGATGGTGTGCCACTTGTAAGTCTAAGGCATCAAAGACCCCACTGCTTCAGCTTGCTCTCACTAGGCCCTCATCAAACCTTGAAAAGGGCATCTGTGAGTGAGCTTGTGGTCCTAGAGAGAAGAATCCCCAACCCAGGATCCACAGGTGTCTGAGCAAACCCAGCAGGGCCCTGCCCAGGACAACTGGCCCACATGTATGTGAGCTAAGAATACACCATTGCTCTAAGCCTTGGGGCAGCTTGTTATGCAGCAATAGCCAACCAGTAGCTACACTGGTAGGCTTGTTCTGTCTTTGCCTCTGGAAGATGAGCCCCATTTCTGTCTTTTGCAGCTGTGGACTCAGCTTCTAGAACAGAGTTTGCAACATGGCAGGTGTTCAGCAGTCTTGTTGAGAGGGAGAATGCATGGTTTCCATGCTGAAAACCCTCAGCCTCAGCCTTCTATGAGGCAAGGCCTTCTCAGGATGGTCTCAACTTAGGACCACACAGCACAGAGCAGCTGCAGAGGCCAGAGTGAATATGTCAGTGCTTAGAGAGCATTTGTGGAGGACACTTGGAGCATAATTTTCTCCTGAATTTCCCCAGTGACTGAAAAGCATGAATACCCAGGAATAAGGCAGAAAGTACTCTTCTGTCTTTTTAGGCTCTATCCTAGTATCACATCCTCTTGAACATGTTTAATACAACCAGGACTTACATTCCAGCAGTGAAGATAAAACCAGCAGTGAGTTTTAGGTCATTTCTATTAAATTGGCCTGTCTTGAAGACTTTAGTTCCTCCTTAACAGCAAAATTGGACATTCAGGCACCAATTTTATCTGTGAATGAGAAGCAGTTAAACCCCCCTCTGGGTGTCTCCCTTACCCAAAATTAGTGGCCGGGGTTATTTCTACACAGAGAACCATGGGAGCATCATTTGGCAGAGCAGTGGCTCTCATGGGGTGGTCCCCAGGATATACCATTAGTGTCACCTGGAAAAGCCAAATCCTCAGGGCTCCCCCAGACCCACTGATTGGAAACTCCAGGGTGGAGCCCAGCATTCTGTGTATTACAAGCCTTCAGAAAGCATAGTTTAAGACCCAGTACTTTAGAGAATTCTCCACCTCCACAACTCACAATTATTCACTCATTCATTCATTAGGAAATGTTCACAAACCACCTATTGTACATTAGCCACTGAGCTAAGCAACAGGGAAAGAAATAATAAGATATGCTTTATGTATGTAAGAAAATATGGCTCAGAGAAAAACTAAGTCCTACTATGAAGCACTACAGGAGGTGCTGAGGGGACTCAAGGCAGCCAGAGCCACAGGGTTCATGTTGAAGAGGAAGTCAGGGCTTCACTGTGGTTGGTTCCATGACATTCAAAAGAAGGAGGACAGGGCCAGGGATTTAGCTCAGTGGTTTCACCGCCTGCTGCGCAAGCGCAAGGACCAGAGTTCAATCCCCAGTACCAAAAGAAAAAAACAAAAAGAAGAAGGATGACAGCAGACAATTCCAGACAGTTCAGGGGTCCAGATTAAATAACAGCCTTAGTAGCCTGAACTTTATCCTACCTGCAAGGCAAGAACCATTCAAACTGCTTAAACAGAGGAGTTCAATACCTTATTCACATTTTAGGAAGAGCACTCTGGTCATTTTGGAGGATGGATTGAACTGAACTGGGGGTCAGAACTGAAGAAGGGAGACTTCTAAAAAGACTCTTGTGCAGACACAATAAAAATGATAACAAGAGCAAGAAGTCTTTTGCCCAAATTCCTAACCCATGAGTAGGGGAGGTCTGGAGTGTGGCAATCTTCCTTGCTGTCCAGCACAGCTTAAACTAAGTGAGGGTAGGTGAATGGAAGCCACACTTACTCGGGCAGTAGATTAGCTCTGAGGACCCGTTCTTCATTCTTCCTAGCATCTAATCCTTGCCTCATCAAAAGTGGAGGGATCTCCTCATCTTTGACTTTGGGCTTATCCATATGGCTTATATTGGCAAACAAATGAGCCAGAGCTGACAGTATGCAGTTTGGAGGCCTCGTGAGTTTCTCCCTGCTCTCTCACCCCTCCACCATCTGCATGGAAAGAGCATGCTCTGGCTGTGTGCCTGGTCAGAGCAGGATGAGAAACGTGCAGCTGAGCCAGCCTAGCCCAGATGTGCTGTGAAAGCAGAATGGTCCAGCTTAGATCATATCAGTCAAGTCCCAGCCAGTCCATGGATCCATAGGAATAAATGCTCCCCATCATAAAACACAGAGATTATTGCAGAGGTTTCTTATCCAGAAATAGCTAACAGATAGATAAATGAGCCCTCTTCTGGGGACTATGAGTGGCCCAGGGAAGGGGCTGAAACCTGAACACTTATATCCAGCATAGATACTTACATGGGCATGATCAACACTTTATGTTCTTAATAATTATAAATCCAATTCCCTAATAATCTCTCAGGGCACCAAATGGCCATGTGTGTTCATTCACCTAATCCACCCTGGCTGTCTCCTTGCAAATTCCCAGGCTCCTTTTTGAACACTGACTGCAAAGCTGCTGAATCTCTCTCTCTGGTTGTTTTTCTTATGCCAGCATGATTGTAAGGCCATCACTTAACAATTACTTGGGGAAATTTATTTACAGTGTGATGCAGATCCATGAATGTTTGTAGTGGATACATTCACTTACAATGCAATCCAATTCTGCCAATGCCTCTAGCAGATAAAATTGTGCTGTGCTATTCCTATAAAAAGAAACCCACCTGGTTAATGGTTTCTATGGTCTTCCATGAATAGACCAAGGTCAGGGCCACCACAATGAGTTAGGGAAAGTTAATCTGTAGAAGCAAGTTAAGCACAGAAAACTACATTTTAATGATTGTGAATGTGTGACAGCAGCCGGAATTTAACTAAATGAGAGACCAAAAAGGCAAGTCCAAGATGCTTGTTTTGTGACCCTTGCTTCTGCTGATTGTAAATGACCGGTGTGTAATTTCCTTAAGGCAAAGACAAGGTCTGTCTCTCTCCCTTGGACGCTCACTGCCCGCCCATTGCCTGGCACTGAGACAACAGATATGAGAGGGTTGTGTCAATCAAGGAGTGCAGGTGCCAGGGAGAAGCCTTCCTCGGCCCTGCCAGCCAGCTGTTTGGAACACTTGCATTCACTGCAAAGGAAGAAGCTGACTGCCAACACCCCTCCGGCTTCTCTGCAGCCCTCTCCATAGCAGTGGTTCTCAAAGTGTGACCCATTATGTACCCCATTCTATCTGATCCTCCACATGCAAATGTTAAGTTTTTACAGTACTCCTGTTCTTGTGTATAAAACTCAAAGTGGGTATGTCTTTACTTGCAAAATTTTCCCTTAGCATGTGACAGAAAAAGGAAGACTATCACGGACCCCCCACCCCCAGGTCTTGCAAAACTACTTCCTACCTCCATCCCTAATTCATTCCATTTTCATTTCCTACCTTGCTCATTGCACTCTGCTCCTCTCTCAACTATCATGTATGCCAAGCTCTTCCCTACCCCTTGGCCTTCACACATTTTAGTTTCTCCATCTGGAATGTTCCTTCCCCCAGTTCTAGGCCTTCTCATTGCCTTGGAATCCATTTGCATGTCCTCATCTCTTCAGAAGAGGAACTGTCCTCCAGTTCCACTTTCACTAGTTCCTCTTTCACTAGTTCATTTCTTTATTTGTTTCCTTCCTGGAACTTTCTATCATTTGTCACTCTTCTATCTGTTGCTAACATCCTTATGTGTTTCCCTCACTAGATTATGAGCTCCATCTATTTATTGATCATCTATTTATTGATCATCTTCTCCAGAACCTAGAACCATGACAAGCACTTGCACAAGACAAGCACTCAGTAATCTGTTTACTAAGAAATAAAGAAATGGATGATCTTGTGGCCAAGAGTAGAGCAGACAGGGTGGTGGCTATCTAAATGAATTAACCCCATCAGGAATATGAAGTGGCCCAGCAGCTGATAAGGGCCAGGTTCTGCCAAGAAGTTACTCTGCAGATGTCTGGCCAGGAGTAAGTGTGCATATCTGAGAGGCTCCTGATATATAAAATATAAGACCGAAGGCCCAGAGTCCTAAATGGGAGCCTGTTGATTCTCCTTGCTAAGACCAATCCCTTGTGGGCTGTGGGACAAGCTTTGGGTAAGCTGAGGGCCCATTTTTCCCA